TATGCATCCAAATTCAATATATTGTATCTTAATTTCAATACTTTTAAAATAAATATAACATGTTCAATTCAAATTGTCTCCTTTTCTCTTTTATCACTTATTTTAACATTTACTTAATCATATTTGCCAAAGCATAGTATTTCTCGATCATGCACTAACTTAAGATTCATACAGCTTGTGATTCATACCGTCCCATCTCACTCTTAAATGTGGATTACAAAATATTTGCTGACATTCTGGCAAGCAGACTTAAAAAGGTCTTAAATGAAGTAATTCATAAAGACCAAGCTGGCTTTCTCCCTGGTAGACATTTATATGAGAATACTAGGAACATCATTGATATTTTGGAGCTTTTGCAAACCAACAGGAACACAAGGGCGGTGTTAATTTTTATTGATGCGGAGAAAGCATTTGACAACATATCTTGGTTGTTTATGAAGAAAAACTTGGAAGGGATGGGAGTGGGACGGGGGTTTGAAAATGGAATACAAGCAATTTATTCTGAGCAGAAAGCTAAACTAATAGTGAATAATGTGGTGTCGGAGGAACTCAAAATTGAAAAAGGGACACGACAGGGGTGCCCTCTATCCCCTCTTTTATTCATCTCAGTCCTGGAGGTGCTATTGAACATGATAAGGGAGGACCGGAGGGTACAAGGGATAGAGGTCGGAGTGAAACAATACAAACTGAAAGCTTTTGCAGATGACTTAGTTTTGACACTGCAGGAGCCAGAACCCAGTACAAAAAGAGTTCTTGAACTTATATCTGAGTTTGGTCGAGTGGCGGGGTTTAAACTGAATAAACAAAAAACTAAGGTTCTGACTAAGAATTTGACACCCACAGAAACAGAGGGATTTCAGAGAGAAACAGAATTAAATGTGGTCAAAAAAGTGAAATATCTAGGGATTAATTTGTCTTCAAAAAATTTGAATTTATTTAAAGATAATTATGAGAAATGCTGGCTGGAAGTTAAAAAAGATTTAGAAATTTGGTCAAGATTGAAACTGTCCTTGTTGGGAAGAATCGCGGCTATAAAAATGAATGTATTGCCGAAAATGTTGTTTTTGTTTCAAACCTTGCAGATCGTGGACAGAGTGGAATGTTTTGGAAAGTGGCAGAAGGATATATCTAGGTTTGTCTGGCAGGGCAAAAAGCCCCGAATAAAGTTCAAAATACTAACTGACTCAAAAGAAAGAGGGGGGTTTGCCCTGCCGGACTTAAGGTTGTACTATGAAGCTGCAGCCTTCTGCTGGCTGAAAGACTGGTTTTTGCTGGAAAATACTGATGTCCTAGATCTGGAAGGTTTTGATAATGCTTTTGGTTGGCATGCATATCTATGGTATGACAAGGCTAAGGCTCATAAATTGTTCAAAAACCACATTGTCAGAAAAGCAATTTTTGCAGTCTGGATGAAGTATAAAGACTTATTAGAGTGCAAAACACCGAGGTGGTTATCACCGGTGGAGGCCAAGGCCCGAAAAAGACTCAATATGGAGGCCTATTGGCCGAAGTATTGGGAATTAATTGAAAATATTGGAGACAATTGGAAGCTGCAGAGCCAGGACAAATTAAAAAATAAGGTGCGAGACTGGTTACATTATGCTCAAATTCAAGAGGTTTTTAAAATGGATAAAAAGGTGGGTTTCCAGGTGGAAAAATCGAAACTAGAGACAGAATTGTTAGAACCAAAGACTAAGACTTTATCGAGAATGTATAACTTGCTGCTTAAATGGAATACACAGGATGAGGTAGTTAAATCTGCCATGATAAAATGGGCACAGGATGTTGGACACAACATAATGTTTGAAGACTGGGAAAGGTTATGGAACACCGGAATGAAATTCACGGCATGTACTGCCCTGAAGGAAAACATTATGAAAATGGTATACCGGTGGTACATGACCCCAGTCAAGCTAGCTAAAATATATCACCTGTCTGACAACAAATGTTGGAAATGTAAGGAGGCAGAAGGGACATTTTCCCACCTCTGGTGGACCTGCCCAAAAGTGAAGGCCTTCTGGGAAATGATACATAATGAATTGAAAAAGGTATTTAGGTATACCTTTTCTAAGAAACCTGAGGCCTTCCTGCTGGGTATGGTGGACCAGAAAATGTCAAAGAAGGATAGAACCTTGTTTATGTATGCAACTACAGCAGCAAGAATACTCATCGCAAAGAACTGGAAGACACAAGATTTACCCACGCTGGAGGATTGGCAGACGCAGTTGATGGACTACATGGAATTAGCTGAGCTGACCGGCAGAATCCGAGATTTGGATGAAGAAATAATTGAGGGAGACTGGAGAAAATTTAAAGACTATTAACAATGTTTTGTTTCTGAAGACTGTTTCAGAAAAGCCATAGCTAATATAAACTACAGTGTGTCAAGTTCAGATGACAAACTAAGCAAGACTGGAAGTCAAAACTTCTGTTCTTCTTGCAGCTGCACCAGAGTAGGAGGCAAAGCACATGAACCTATGGCTCACTGTGGCTTGTGCTCATCATGCTAAATTATTGCCATCCCAACCAGACAAGTCTCTATAAAGTACAGAGAGGCAAGGTAGTATTTTACCTGTTCTATGTGATCTGCACTTCCCAGCCCAATTTAAGGTGCTGAGTGGCCCTAAGTGATTTGGGGGCAAAATATCTCTTGTTATGTATGCCGACCTGGTTGCATTTTTGTACATTATTTTCAGCTATACATGCATTTTCATGCACACTTCCCCTCAAAATATGCATTTCGGTACTCATGACTTGACCAGAGCACTGCACTGCAAAATTCAGAGAAGTGTGCATTTCAAAGGATTTCTGCATTTCAATTCATGTATTGTTTTGGCAGGTTCACCCTCAGAGGCAAATTGAATTGAATCTGCCCCACCATCCTTAACAATACGTAGTAACAACACAGTCTGCTCCAATTCCCCACATCTGGTCCACCCAGCATTTGTGGGGAACTGTAAGCTGAGCATCGCACAAATAGTGCTGTTGCCACAAGACCCTAAACATTTCACAATATACTCCTCTCCAATGCAGCAAAATACAGGCAATCCTGCTGAGCTCTCTGAACCTTCATTTTAAGGCAGCTGAGTATTTCAAACCCATCACACATAAATATGGAACTAAAGCACCTTTTTCTGCTTAATTTAAATCACTATTCATTACATAGCACACCACTGTTCCTGGGTTCAAGTTAAATCATGAAGTCCTCATAATTTTACCAAGGATTCTCACATGGCTCCAGAGACACAATCCTAAGATTTGAATATTGGACATAGGTGCAACTTGGGAATTCTTAAATCAATACTTCTGCACAGTAGAGCCTATCTTTAGGATGTTCAACATGTAGGCTACCTTTGAACTACAACTAATCCAGAATGCGGCAGCTAGACTGGTGACTGGGAGTGGCCGCTGAGACCACATACACCAGTCTTGAAAGACCTACATTGGCTCCCAGTATGTTTCCAAGCACAATTCAAAGTGTTGGTGCTGACCTTTAAAGCCCTAAACAGCCTGGGTCCAGTATACCTAAAGGAGCATCTTCACCCCCATCGTTCTGCCTGGACACTGAGGTCCAGTGCCGAGGGCCTTCTGGCGGTTCCCTCGCTGCAAGAAGCCAAGTTACAGGGAACCAGGCATAGGGCCTTCTCGGTAGTGGTGCCCGCCCTGTGGAACACCCTCCCATCAGATATCAAAGAAATAAACAACTACCAGACTTTTAGAAGACATCTGAAGGTAGCCCTGTTTAGGGAAGCTTTTAATGTTTAACAGACTATTGTATTTTAATATTTTGTTGGAAGCTGCCCAGAGTGGCTGGGGAAACCTAACCAGATGGGTGTGGTGTAAATAATAAATTTATTATTGTTACTATTATTATTGGGGAGGACATAATGTGTGGTAGAATAAGGTATCAGGATATATATATATATATATATATATATATAATTATTATTATTATTAGCTATTATATCCTATGGATCCACTTTCACTGTGTTTTACATAAAAGAGTTTCCCTTCCTATTCCTGCTTCCTCAAAGTCTTAGTGAGCTGAATAGGGCTTCTTTCCATATCAGCATGAGCATCATTACAGCGTAGGAGCGCAGTCCTATAGATGTTTACTCAAAAGTGAATCCCATGGTGGTTTTTACAGCGTTATACTTGGAAGGAAGAGTTGCAGCTTCACCGCTTAACCCTATGCATGTCTACTCAGAACTCACTCCCAGGGAAGTGTGTCTGCAGGGTGGCAGCCTCAACAGCTTTACGCAAGAATATATTATGGCGATGTTGTAAACACGTCCCGCAAAACAGGCACACACTCAGCTCGCCCGCCTTTGCAATGCAGCGGGCCGCTTTTTTACACGCGATTCTGACTACAAGAAGAAGAAATAATGAGGCTATGCGAGTTCTGCAGCGATTGCACATCACACACAAAAAAAGAAAATTGTGGACAAAACACCGAAAAAAAGAAGGAAAGCTACGACGATCCAAAAGCACAGCCGTAACAAAGGACAATGATGGACAAGAAAAGAAGGGCGGTGGAGAGAACTGCGCTAGATCCAAAATAAAAAGCTGGTGAAATGCACAAACTGCCAAAAAGAAAAAAAAAACCCGCGACCCGCAAAATAAAAAAGCCCAAGATGAAATTGCCAGCAGGTGTCACTACAGCTCTCATTCAAGCAGCCGCTCTCCTTCCCCTGCCTTTTGTAAGAGCCTCGCGAAATACTGCAAAAATCCACCCTTGGTTGCTCTGAATGAAGCCTCAACTTCGGAGAGGTTTACGGCCGTGACGGGCGCAGTCTCTGCCCTTGCAGCGACGGACGTCCCGGCCAGCCAACCGCCTCCCCGGAAAGGGAGACGGGCGGGGCTTCGGCCGGCGCAGCCAACCCCGTCGCGTGATTCGAGCCAGAAGCTAGGCAGCGACAGAGGAGAGGCGAAGGGGCGGGGGCGCGAGAGCAGGCAGAGTTCGGGCGCTTCTCGCGAGAGCTTGCCCCCTTCCCACTTTCCGCTGGGTGACTGCGCAGCTGCCATGTTGGTTGCTATGCTGCTGCCTGTCTGAAGGCAGGCTGGAGGAGAGGAAGGAGGGAGGCAGGCTCTCGGGTGGAGGAGGGGGAGGAAGACGGAGGAGGTGGCGGCGGCGGCGGCAGCTGCTGCTCGTTCTCGGCCCCCCGCCTAGTGCAGGCAGGCAGAGCCCCGGTGTTTAGCTACCGCCTCTCCCCCCCAGCCTCGGCCCCCCGGCTGCAGGAGAAGGAAGAGAGGGGGAAGCCTCCTTTCGGGGTGGGAGGGAGGAAAAGGTCCGGGGGTGCCTTCCCCTCAGGCAGAGAGGGGTGACTGCTGAGACCCCTCCCCCCTCTCCCCCTCCCTCTATTGGAGGGGGTGCCCAGTGGGTGGGGAGGGGGGGAGGCTGCATTGCCTTCCCCCCATCCTCCACCTGCTCACCCACCCACCCTTGCCTTTCTGTCTGCGGCAGGAATGTGGGGGGGCTTTGAGTTGAGAGGGGGGCGCTCACTGCAACGGTTGCTGGAGACCCCCATCCTATTCGCTTGCTGCTGCTGCTGCTGCTCCTCGCGGGGTGCAAGAACTCGACTGAACTGAGCCTTTTCTGCGGGTTAAATTGAGCCTTTTGTGTGTGAGGTGTGTGTGTTGGGGGGCAAGACCCCCTTCCCACCTCCACTTTACCTTTTGGCTTCCCTTTTCTGGGTTGCTCCCTTGCTCCATTATCATCCTCTGGAAGGACGTGGCTGTTATATGAAGGTAAGAGGATATTACTGGGGGTTTCGGTTTTAAGTTTTCAAGTTAAAATGGGGGACTCCCTCTCTTCCAATTTTTTTTAAAAAAATAATAACATTGTTACATGCTCTCGTTTCAAATGTTGGATGTGTGATATCCCTTACGTTAAGGATGTAGACTTAAAAATTACCAGCCCACCCCCTAGATCGCTGTGGGTCTGAGTGCTAAATGTTGGACGACCCAATAGATGCAGAGGAATGTGTGGCAACAGGAAAGGAGGTGGGTGGGTGAATGACTGTTAAGAGTTGCCAAATCATAATTATCCAAAGTATTGATCTGGGGAGTGTAGCATTTATTTACAGTTGTGGATTTGTTGAATTATATAGTGTATATGGTGCTCCTTAAAAATGCAATATGCCTTCTTTGAGTGTGCTGTTTGCACTAGAAAGGGAGTTAAAGAGATGGTAATGTTAATGTTATTTTAGGTCAAGCAATTTTTCAGTTCAATATTGGTTCACTGAAGATTGGGAAGGTCCTGAAGAAAAGAGGGTCTTTCCCCCCTACCTTTGTTAGTCAAGCTGATGTATTTACCGTAGATGCAGACTGGTAACATTTGTATAAATGGTTTCTAAACCCAAAGGTTGTGTATGGTTGACAGTGTTGTGTTTGCATTCTATTATGTTAGCTGAAGAAGCAGCAGGATTACGTTATTCTTAGGGGGAGTGGAGCCATGACAAAATTAGGTTGCGTGAAGGTGTGTAAGGGTCCTGTCTGGGTTCTTGATTGCATTGGTATTTGAAGAAATGCTTTTCTATCACCAAGGCATTCAAATAGGTCCTGAGATCAAAATGTTGCTCTATTGTATTCCATTAATTTTTTTGCAGAATTATGATGTGTGAAGTGTTACGTTACATTTGTATATTTAAAGAAACTGAAAAGGCCAGGCATCAATTACTTTGAGGTGTATTTCCAAAAGACATTCTGTAAGATCAAAAGTCAAGCTAGAATGTGTTGCATTGTATTTTCAAGGGGTAGTTGCCTGTATAAAAGGTAAAGGGACCCCTGACCGTTAAGTCCAGTCGCGGACGACTCTGGGGTTGCGGCGCTCATCTGTATATGTATGTACAAAAACCGAGGTTCCACTGTAGTATGAATGATCTTGTATCTATCCTGCTTCTAGCAGCACAGTTAAGGGTGCATTACTGTGTGTCAATCTCAAATTAGCCATTCCTATAACTATGCATATACTAAATATGCAAGATAATAACTTTGAAAATAAAGAAATTATAATTAAAAGCTATTGCAACTTTCTTTTCATTTTGATGTAGTTCCAGATGATCATAAGAACCCTAGGGTTACACTTCTTTGGGGGGATATGACACCTGACATATCTCATGTAAAACTCTCATTTGTCATCTTCCCTTTGAAAAAGATATCATGCCAAATCAGATGCCAAGGTTTAAAATGCCATTCAGAAGAACAATAAGGATAGTGGTAGTGTTTTCTATTTATGGCCCTAATTGATTTTGCAACTTGATTTTGCTTTCTGAAATTACTTTTAAAAGTTCATAGCATAGATTCACACTGATGAATTGGACCAGGGTTTCATATCAATAAGGTGGGGGAGAGCTCAATTGCAAGTTACTTTGTTTCTAAATTAGTGTATACAATTATCTTATTGAAGGGGTTTATGTTATAATAAGCAATTGTTACCTTTTCTATATCTTCTGAATATGCTCTTGTATGTCACCTGCAGAAGAAAGAATGTTCATGAAGGTTTTTCTACTGGCTAGTTTTTAAATGAAATATAGTTTGACATTATTGAATAAAGTAGCAATATTCATGTAGAAATAAAAACAATAGAGTTATATGCATGTAATAAATTAATAAAATTTGCAAAATTAGTATACTTAACATTTCTCTTGCTTTTTATGCTTCTGAAAGCTTAGGCTTCAGCATCATTCCAGATTGTGAAAATTGGACTTCAAAATAATTCTTTAGGCATTTCCTCATCTCATGAATTACCCAGTCTAGAATACTATAGTAGATCTTTTTTTCTTCATCTTTGTTTTGTCAATGGTTAAGTAATGCTTTGTAATGCGGGAGTCAATATTTTCTGATACTGTCAGATGTTTTGTAAGCCAGTAAATCACCAGTGTGTTACAATAATATGACTTTGTCAAATGTACATTTCTGCAGCAGCATAGCTTCACTAGCTAGCACGCTGCATAAAGATAACATAGCACTTACTATAATTCTTCTGTCCAATGTACTTTTGGCATCCTTATGCTTAATTTACTTTAGTTTTTCCCCCCTTCATACATTTTAATGGAATAACAGATGGTAGGCCTATTCAGAAGTAAGTCCCACTGAAGTAAGTGTGCAAAGGACTGCGCCCTAAATCCAGAATCTGGTATGTTATACCATCCCTTATGATGGTATGCATATTTAGAATGTCTCACTTTTTGATTGAAATTCTGTCCTGACTACTTCATTTAGGACCTATCCTGGGTCTTGCATGCCAATCAATAAATGTTTAGTATGGGCTAAATTAATTTTTGGAAATGCGCAGTAGTACAGGCCATTTCAAAAGAACATAAAGACATTGATAGCAGATATGTTGATTGCATGTGTTTAAGTTCAGTCACGTGCTACTTCGATCCAATAATAATAATAATAATAATAATAATAATAATAATAATAATAAATTTTATTTATATCCCGCCCTCCCCAGCCGAAGCCGGGCTCAGGGCGGCTAACAACACTACAACAGTGCAACATTATAAAAACATTATAAAAATTAATTAAAATACAAATTGATGGCAACCATAAACTAAAGTTTTGTAAAGATTGCCAAAGGAGGGAGTCAGGCTGCGCCCTGACCAAAGGCCTGGTGGAACAGCTCTGTCTTACAGGCCCTGCGGAAAGATGTCAAGTCCTGCAGGGCCCTTGTCTCTTGCGACAGAGCGTTCCACCAGGTTGGAGCCGCAACCGAAAAAGCTCTGGCTCTAGTTGAGGCCAGCCTAACCTCTCTGTGGCCTGGGACCTTCAAGATGTTTTTATTTGAAGACCGTAAGTTCCTCTGTGGGGCATACCAGGAGAGGCGGTCCCGTAGGTACGAGGGTCCTAGGCCGTATAGGGCTTTGAAGGTTAAAACCAGCACCTTAAACCTGATCCTGTACTCCACCGGGAGCCAGTGCAGCTGGTATAGCACCGGATGAATGTGATCTCGCAGCGAAGACCCCGTAAGGAGTCTCGCTGCGGCATTCTGCACCCGCTGGAGTTTCTGGGTCAGTCTCAAGGGCAGCCCCACGTAGAGCGAGTTACAATAATCCAGTCTGGAGGTGACCGTCGCGTGGATCACAGTGGCTAGGTCAGGGCGAGAGAGGTGAGGAGCCAACTGCTTAGCTTGGCGGAGATGAAAAAATGCCACCTTTGTTATAGCTGCAATCTGCGACTCCATGGAAAGGGAGGTGTCGAAGATTACACCCAAACTCTTAACGGACGGTGCTGGCACTAATTGCGCCCCGCAAGAGATGGGAGTTGCCCCCCCAATCCCATATCGCCCCGTCCCAGCCACAGGACCTCTGTCTTCGAAGGATTTAGCTTCAACCGGCTCCCACGTAACCATCCAGCCACAGCTTCCAAGCATCTGATCAGTGTGTCTGGGGCCGAGTCAGGATGGCCATCCATCAACAGATAGAGTTGGGTGTCATCAGCATACTGATGGCAGCCCAGCCCAAAACTCCGGGGTAATTCATATGTGCTAGCAAGTTTCCATGTACAGGATGCCTCCATTGCATACTCAAATGGTTGCTGTGGTCAGTGTTAGAAACTCAGGTAGACAAGTTTGGCGCCACATAACACCTGAAAACTAGGTTACGGGTGCACTAACAGAATGTCTAGGTGATATTATTATTTTTTTATTATTTATTATTGTATAACAAGATTACAAAGCTGAAAATGAATGAACTCCAGCTAAAATCTTATGTTAAATTTTCATATGATCTAGTCCTCATCTGAAGACCGTAGAAAGCTCTCCTAATATTCTTATGTGAGTCCTTTCTCTAGTCTTCAGAGAGTGGTTGTAAGTGGGAAGGCAGAAAAAGGTACTCCATTCCTTCCACTCTGCAAACAAACTCTTGATTGTCCCTAAACCCCCTTTCCTTCATATTATGTAATCTTTCTGGCACAACAATTAACACTTATTGCAGGCCTACACGCAGTCACGAAATTAAAAGACGCCTGCTCCTTGGGAGAAAGGCGATGGCACACTTAGACAGTATCTTAAAAAGCAGAGACATCACCTTGCCAACAAAGGTCCGTATAGTTAAAGCCATGGTTTTCCCAGTAGTGATGTATGGAAGTGAGAGCTGGACCATCAAGAAGGCTGATCGCCGAAGAATTGATGCTTTTGAATTATGGTGCTGGAGGAGACTCCCATGGACTGCAAGAAGATCAAACGTATCCATTCTGAAGGAAATCAGCCCTGAGTGCTCACTGGAAGGACAGATCGTGAAGCTGAGGCTCCAATACTTTGGCCACCTCATGAGAAGAGAAGAGTCCCTGGAAAAGACCCTGATGTTGGGAAAGATTGAGGGCACAAGGAGAAGGGGACGACAGAGGACAAGATGGTTGGACGGTGTTCTCGAAGCTACAAACATGAGTCTGACCAAACTGCGGGAGGCAGTGGAAGACAGAAGTGCCTGGCGTGCTCTGGTCCATGGGGTCACGAAGAGTCGGACACGACTAAACAACAACAGCAGGCCTTCACAACTGATGGCAGAGACATCCACCTTGAGTGACCAGTTTGCACAACCTAAGACTTCAGTGTCCCTCAATGACCCCACTCCAAATTTTATTTAGATTTTAAGCACTACTGAGATAGTCTGAGGTAAATAACACTTTAAAATGCACAACTTAAACCGTCATAAACTAACCAGATAGTATAGTTCAAATTAAAAGCATATCATACATTATGCCCCACGCACATTAAACAAGGCAAGTAAAACTTAACCAAAACA